TGTTTCTTGTCATCGCAACTCCTCTCAAACCACACAACAGAATTTCATGAAACCTTTTTAGATAATAAGGACATACTATGTAGTTGTGCATATCGACAGGAAATTACGATTCATTTTTTTTCTAGGAGTTACGCCCCTTTGAACTTATTTGCTTCAATGTACTACTGCAACAGTTTGTCTCGCAACTCCTCTGAAACCACACCACAGAATTTCATGAAACTTTGTAGATAATAAGGACATACTATGTAGATGTGCATATCGACAGGAAATTACGATTCAATTTTTTTTTCTAGGAGTTACGTCCCTTTGAACTTATTTGCTTTAATGTACTACTGCAACAGCTTGTCATCGCAACTCCTCTGAAACCACACAACAGAATTTCATGAAACCTTTTTAGATAATAAGGACATACTATGTAGATGTGCATATGGACAGGAAATTACGATTCATTTTTTTTTCTAGGAGTTACGCCCCTTTGAACTTATTTGCTTCAATGTACTACTGCAACAGTTTGTCATCGCAACTCCTCTGAAACAACACCACAGAATTTCATGAAACTTTGTAGATAATAAGGACATACTATGTAGATGTGCATATCGACAGGAAATTACGATTCAATTTTATTTCTAGGAGTTGCGCCCCTTTGAACTTATTTGCACTTAACAAATGATGATAATTCGTCAACCTATAAAGATTTAGTTATGAGCAGGAAAAGGAGAGTAGATAATAAGCCTAATAATAAGATAACTTGCAAAATTGATATATAAAATGAGTGTTATTTATATAAATAAACTTATGACTATCCTAAGACCATCATAAGACACCTCTCGTGTAGTCCTAACTGTATGACCAACTTTAAGAGATGTTCTAATTGAGGACAACTTTGTGAAACCAACTTAGGACTTAGATATGTCTTAAGACAATCCTAAGACATGTCTAAGTCCTAAGACAGCTTTTGAAACTGGCCGCAGATCAGACTAAATTGACATTACTTTTTTCGCAATTATATAAACCTAGTGATGTCTGAGTTGAATGGAATGAACATGATATTTGTTATGCAAATGACAATAGTCAACTATTCTCGACCGTTAGCTAGTTTGGCATTTTCAACTTTTTTTTCTATACCAGCGTCACTGGTGAGTCTTTTGTAGCCGAAACGCGCGTTTGGCGCATTTACTAAATTTTAATCCTGTTATCTAGGATGAGTTTATTTACAATCATATTTTATACCAATCAAACGTACGTGTTTGTGACTGTTTTATAGAAATAATAACATTCCTTCACTTCTTTCATATCCCAACTATCACATCGGTTTGGCGTAATGATCAAAGCTGATGCCTTGTATATAGTGAACGTGAAGCACTGTCCACGTATAAAGAACACCCACAACATCCTTTGATAGAGTGTAAATAAGACAGCTAGTATAACTCTTATCTGTTAAAGTCATTTATTTCATTCTTTTTACAATTTATTTTTGTATCGTAGTTCTCAGTAGTGTGTAATTTATCCGATTTCATAGAGGTCACAGCCTTTTAACATGTGTTAGTTTAAGTAGAATTGTATTATGTATTAATAGGTTGGTGCATTTTTGGTGCATATTTGTTGGCAATTTAGGTCAGGTAAACAAGTAGAATTAATTAGATCAAATTATTGGTGCATAGTTGGTGCATTCTTGGTGACAAATGTTTATACAAGGACTCTGTTTTAGAGAAGAAAGAATTGAAGGCGAGAAGGAATAATACAATATGAAACGTTCGAACGGATTATGTTATTCTATGCAGATTTTGGCAGATATTGGGAGGACCATTATAGATTCATAGAAAGGTTGTGCTACATTACTATTCATTTGTATTTAATTTTGTGTTTTTTTGTCCGCACAGTAAAGGACACTGTTGCATGGTTTTTTTCTGCATAGTATTGAACTCTATGCGTGTTTTTATTTTTTGTGTACACCGTATCGGTCATTGTTGCCTAATTCTTTTGTATACGGAATGTAACGAAATCCGTTTGTGGAAATTTGTGAAAGTAATGTGCCGTGAGTGCCTGACATTTTTCTATGTGAATCTTCGAATCATATATTTTGTAAACTGTATCTTATGTAAATATTCGCCTGGAATGGACTGATAATAAACAATAGATTAGTCGATTTACTAGTATATTTTCATTTAACATCTCTGAAATATCTGTCGTCAAATTGTCCGTTATTTCAATGTACCCGGCCTGACGTGAAAGTTTTATGATACTCGACCGTCGTGGCATTTTTGTTGCCAAAAGTGGGATCCAACAAGAACAAACAGTGACTTTATATATTTCAAAATATAGGTAACGAGATAGAAGACGTGTTTTAATAGAAGATTTAAACAGAAATAAAATTCAAGTGATAAATTTACTTAGATAATTTTCTTTTTAGAATTATTTTTCATATAACTTGTTTTGACATTGCTTTGTTTTTGTTATCAAATTGTCAGTATGCGGACTTTAACGAGCTTTACATTTGTTTTATTATTTATTGAAATGTGTTGTGATAATTTCCTGTGGTCAATTAAATCCACATGCTTATAGAAAAGATGGAATGACAGAGTGTAAATAAGACAATATTACTTTTATCTGTTCAAGTAATTTTAAAAATTATTTTTGTATCGTAGTTATCAGTGGTGTGTAATGTATCCGATTTCCTAGAGGTCATAGCCTTTTAACATGTGATAGTTTAAGAAGAGTTCTACTAACTGTATTAATAGGTTAGTGCATTTTTGTTGATTATTTGGTGGCAATTTAGGTCAGGTTAACAAGCAGAATTTATGTAAAATTCTTTTTGCATAGTTGGTGCATTCTTGGTGACAAATGTTTATACAAGGACTCTGTTTTAGAGTTAAAAGAATTGAAGGCGAGAAGGAACAATACAATATAAAACGTTTTAAAGGATATTGTTATTCTATGCAGATTTTGGCAGATCTTAAGAGGACCCTTTTATTATTTTTTTGTGAAAGTTATGTACTGTGAGTGCCTAACATATGTTTATGTGAATCTTCGCTTCATGTATTTTGTAAACTGTATATTATGTAAATATTCGCCTGGAATGGAATTCTAATTAAAAAATAGACTAGTCGATTTACTAGTATATTTTCATTTAACATCTCTGAATTATCTGTCGTCAAATTGTCCTTTATTTCAATTTACCCGGTCTGACTTGAAAGTTTTATGATACTCGACCGCCGTGGCGAGGTCCTCGTTGTTCCTTTTGATGGTATGTTGGACGGTGTTTTTTTTTTCTCTTTTTTTCTATCATGATTGCTTTTGCCAATGACAAACGAAAGACTAACATTTTTTCCAGGAAAGCAGTTTGTAGAACGAATCTTTGCCCTTCCTTTATTAATTTGCTTTTTCATGCACATGAAATATTTGCCACTGAACAATAAACAAGCAACAACCAATCAATCATTAGCTAAGAAAATTAATAACAAGGCTAATTGATATATAAATATATCACTTTTATCTGGATTCGGGGAAAAAATCTTGAATGGAACTCATATGTATAATTCATTTTATCTTCTTATCCGAATTCGGATAACAACCAAGACGAATTAATATTAAATATAGATATACTTATCCCAATTTTGATAAGGATACTCATTGCATACTAAACTCTGTGAGGTAGGCAATCTATACTTCTTATCCGAATTTGGATAAGAGCAGTTATTTCTCCTTGGTAATCTGTTTTACCTCTTTTATCCAAATTCGGATAACACAAGTTTCTGTTGCCTACCAAAGTTCCTATATCAGAATTCTCGCTTATCCGAAACACCCATGGACTTGAGCATATGGAAATGCTCAAAAGCAATTGGAAGCTGTTATAGTCAGAAACGTATAGTGGAAACAAAATGTACATACACAGTGATTACTAAACAGCAGAGAATGATTGACGCTGGAGAAACACTCAGTGGTTTAGCAAGGTGTGGAAATCTGACAAACGTGAAATTAAAATGTCGACAGATTTCTGAAAAGGACAAACACGTTTATGAACAATACATTACGGTCGAAGTGAATATCCGTTATTCAAAAGTCAATTAAACCACATATTTACCGAAACAAAAGACAGTAATTGTTTTATTGCGTATTCCGATAGAGCAAATGTAGTTGGTGACACATATTTACCAAAACCAATTGTACATCAAACAATTTTACCATAATTATACACGTAAAAACACGCTACGTTTTTCGCGGCGAATATACTTTTTCCTCAAGTTTTATTAAAAATCCAATTCATATAGAAAAACCTTCTTAAAAATCTATCAGTATGGAATAATGCTTGTTATTTCCCATGCAATTCTTTAGAAAAAGTCAACCAAGGTTTAATGTGGTAACTTAATCCGATCAAACAAAGTTTTAGCCAATGCTAAATTAATAAAGGGGCTTGCATGTTTTTATAAAATCCAAGAGAACAGCTTAGTTTTAGTTTTTGTGCATGAAAGGCTCTAATTAAGTAGCACCAGGCGGACTATTAAGTCCCTAAGGGTACATTGCATCATCCTATCATGCAGTAGCAATTGCTTCGGTATTGTCATGATTTAAAGGATACGAATTGTTTGTAAATTTTCAGTTCACAAGATTATGCAATTATGCAATTCACGCAGGCAAAGTTCAACTTATAAAATTTAGGCTCCCTCATATTTTATTGCTCTCAAACAATTTTTTTTGCTTTCAGAATCTTTGGTCACGGGCACACCTGATAAACTTTTAGTAACTGCGAGTTCTCTTATATCGGGACTATGTGTGTTTTGTCTGTATATTAGTTGTTTTTGTGTGCTTCGTGCTGATCTGATGAGTCAACCCATTCCCAAGTGATTTTTAAAGTTTGTTCTTGTGTTGTGCTGTTACATTTTTGTCTCAGGTCAGGTAGGGGGTTGAGCACCATCAAACATGTTAAACCCCAGCAAATTCTTAATATGCCTGTCCCAATTCAGGAACTCAAAAGAAAGACCGATAAATAAAATCATAAATACCATATAAGCTTCCGCTGTTGCCAAATGTAAAACAGTGTCGTCGCTAACCATCCAATTCGGTAATTCTATCTTCAAATTTTCAATTCCTCCCAATTTTTCGGCTTCTTGGTGAATATCGATCCCTGATTGACAGAACTCCCAACTTCCATTTTTATATCCCATAGCGTCACCTACGCCACTCAACACCATCGCGGCTACATATCTTTCCAATATTGGATCTGCCATTTTAATGAAAAACAATATTTCTGCTTCTAAATGTAGGCATTAGCAACGGCTGTCTATACGAGTTGGTTTTTCTACTTTCTGTTTTGTGATGTTTATGTTAGACAATACTTTTCGGTTATTTCCCACACCAACTCACATTTAGCCCTAATACTCAGGTCATTTAAAACAATGTCGAAAATTGAATCAAAGCTACTAATTTAAACCGCCCTCTTTATTAGGAATTCTAAACAAACAATTGTTACGGTTCAATCTTGATAATGTCACAAGAATATATTGAAACATTTTTTGATAATTGGTGCAATATTTTGTTTTTCCTGTTAGCATGTTCAAAGGAAATTTTGAGTTATTTAGAAAAGATTTCGATAAAATTTTAACCACGTTTTTCATGACCGATCAAATGATTTTCAAGAGTAAAAACTTCTAAATATTTTCATTGGTATAATGATAGATTATTTGTAAATTTTCAATACTATACTGAAAAATATCTCTAAAATTGGTTTTCAAATGTTATAAAATAACCACTAGCAACGTAAGGCTAAGATAGCACTTCATAAAGTTCAGCATTTTTTTCTCTTTCTGATAAACTCAACATCAAGTAATTCCCTCGCATGTTAGGTTACTTTTGTCGTTTTATTATTGGTAACAGGAACGTACGTTAACAATATATCACCGTATTAAGTTCTGTCATGTTATTTTTTTGTCTATCTTGTTACCGATACCAGTATTCCATTTAGTATATGATTAAGACGTTGTAACCTTTGAACGAGTTCAATCAACCAAACATTTCATTATGTTTATAATTATATGTAATGATATACTTTTTAAAGACGTTTCAGTCAAATACTGTCTTTCATGTTACTGTTATCTGTGTTTTTGTTAGATGTATTTCTATTTGTATCCATTTGATGAGTTAAGTCACATGTGGAGCAGGATCTGCTTATGGAATAACCGTTTCACAGATGATATCGGATATGTTCCTTATGTCGTAACTACAATACCCTCCCTTTTCACGAATGTTACTTACCGAATTAGACTATTTACCGGATTTGTAATAACATAAGAAACACGGCGGGTGCCACATGTGGAGCAGGATCTGGTTACCCTTCCGGGGCACCTGAAATCACCCCCAGTTTTTGGTGGGGTTCGTGTTGCTTAGTCTTTGGTTTTCTATGTTGTGTCATCTGTACTATTATTTGTCTGTTTGTCTTTTTGTTTTTGGCCATGGCGTTGTCAGTTTGTTTTCGATCTATGAGTTTGACTGTCCCTCTGGTATCTTTCGTCCCTCTTTTTTAAGCCTTTTCCAACTGATTTTTATAGTTTGTTCTTATGTTGTACTGTTACACCACTGTTCCAGGTTAGGGGGAGGGTTGGGCGCCCACTAACATGTTTAACCCCGCCACATTCTATATGTGCCTGTCCCAAGTCAGAAGCCTGTAATTGAGAGGTCGTTGTTTGTTGCTGATGATCATATGTATTTGTTTTGTATTGTTCTTGTATTGTTCTGTTGCTTCACTGTCCCAGGATTAGGGGGAGGGTTAGGCGCCCGCTAACATGTTTAACCCCGCCACATTTTGTATGTGCCTGTCCCAAGTCAGGAGCCTGTAATTCAGTGGTTGTCGTTTGTTGCTGTGTTACATATTTATTTTTCGTTCATTATTTTGTACATAAATTAGGCCGTTAGTTTTCTCGTTTGAATTGTTTTACAATTGTCATTTCGGGCCTTTTATAGCTGACTATGCGGCATGGGCTTTGCTCATTGTTGAAGGCCGTATAGTGACCTATATAGTTGTTAATTTCTGTGTCGTTTTGTCTCTTGTGGGGAATTGTCTCATTGGCAATCATACCACATCTTCTTTTTTTTATATATAGTAACAGGATAGACATATCAGCATTGACAAATGTCTTCATTTATGAAAGTTGTTGTGAAATAACTTCTCCCTTTGGTGAAGTGATAATGTTTTTGTTGTGAGCTCGGTTTGCAACGCGTAATTGCACTTTTGACAAGAATAATGTTGTTGTAATTAATTAATTTGTCGGTAACGGCATAGACACGATAAAAGGGTACCCACTAATTTTTTTCATTAAATGTGTTAATTGTTTTTTCTCTACATTGCTATGCTGTGTTAAGTTTTTAGTATGGTTTGTGCTTTTGAAATCAACTCTGAATATTTCCATATTCATAGGGAGAAAAAAAATTAACGGTTGATCTAGTATTGGTTTCAGGATAGACATGTATTTAGTGTACGCCGATTGAATTCAGTTTGTACAAAAATATGTACATAAATAATAAAGAAGCGGTGGATTGTTTCGTCAGAGTTATTATTAACATTCTAAACAAGTTCCTTTTGCAGATATCAATCTTTCAAACTTTTCATTTTTAAAAACCATTACAACTGTATTTTCCATCAAAAATATAATTTTAAGCATAGGTATACTAAAAAGTCGACAATTTTTTGAAAATGACCCACCTAATGTTAACGATAGACAGTAATAGGCGTTTTAATTTATGTTATTAACAGTAGTTTATACTTCGTTTGTGGTGTCCTGGTGTGCTGTCTTGAATTCATGAGAGGTGTCCGTTGTTATTCTGTGGTTTACATCTTGTATGTACTATTATATTATATTATGTATTTCTCTGTGCTGAGTGTTCTTGCGTTTGTTTGTACTGTATTCCTGTCACGTAATGTTGTCATTTTAGCGGTAGTTTTAACATTGCCGTATAAGCGGGAGGTTTGGCTAGCCATAAAACCAGATTCAACCCACCATTTGTTTCTTAAATGTCCTGTACAAAGTCAGGAATATGGCAGTCGTTATCAAACAGTCCGTTTCTATGTATGTTGGCGTTTGTTTTTGTTGCAGTTCAGTGTTTCTGTTGTTCCTTTGTATTCCTCTTATAGTTGATGTGTTTCCCTCGGTTTTAGTTTGTAACCCGGATTTGTTTTTGCTTAATCGATTTATGACTATTAAACAGCGGGATACTACTGTTGCCTTTATTTATTCCTAAACCAAATCGCAATTGAAACTTTAGTGCGTCTTTCAATGGTTTCTTTCTTCAATGCTTACATTCTTTGATCTGCGGCCAACAAATTTCAGGCGAATAAATACTGGCTTTTAAGGAATAATACAGCAGCGACCTCTTTTAAATTACAATTGTAACCGGAGAGCATGATTAACCTTCCAAAATTCATTACTGTACCAGCCGGGATTCGATCTCGGAAACCATGGGACAGTAAGCCACCGCTTACCAACTGAGCTAAAGGAGTGTTTCACTAGCGTAACTCATGGAGGGCGGTTATATTAAAATGTACTAGAACACATCCGCGGGTCCGTGACTGAACTAAAGTAACTATGCTTTATTTTTAGCCTGAATTTTTAGTATTGGTATTGTCATCTTATAAAAAGTAAAATAACAAAAATACCGAACTCGGAGTCATGATGATTATAAGAAGCACAGTTTTCTCTGCTTTCAAAATCTTTCTGTTTGAACCCATCCTGTGTTTTTTACTACAACCGGGAGTGTTGTTTCATGCCGATGAGAGCGGACGTGAACATTTTTGCAGAAAGAATCTTCCAACATCTTTGACATTGCTTTCTCAAATTAATTTCATGGATAAATTTTATTATCATCACATCGTATACTTTATGTTTTGGATTATATTTTGTTGTTGAGGAAAGTTTCTGCAGATATTTTCATGATTGTTTGAGACATGCGCTCTTGTGGTCTATTTGTAATTTCCATGTGGGAAACTATCAGACCATTCGTTTTGATATCTGAGGGGTTTAGCTGTCCTCCTAATGGATCGGTAGTTTTTTTTCGAGATCCTTTATCGTAGGATTTTGGGTTTTTCTTTACCATGTAACAGCTGGGCATTTAGCAATATCGGTTTGGAATCCAAATATGTCCTTACCGGTTTCCCGTTCGTTGCATTGATATTTGTACAGCATTCGGGTGACCTTGTCCCTTATTTTGAATATAATTGTTTTCATATTTTGCATTTTTTTTACTTTGAGGATGAGCGAATCGGGTAAATGTGTGTTCGTGTTTTATTGCATTGTACTTATTGTTTTGGGGAAGGTTTTGGTAGTAAGATCCGTCACGTTTTTACGTCACGTCGGCTAAAAAAATGGACCGTTCGTTATTTTATTAGTATAGATACCGGTTACTGAGGCTTCTACTCAACACTCAAGGTAATAATATTTTGTATTTCTTAGGAAATATGCAATACTGATAAATAAAAGCATTCGTATTTCAGAATAGAAAACCTCTTGTAATATAATAAAACAACACTGTATGATACTGATTACTTGAAATGATGTAAAGGGACCAGTAATGTGTGGTCATTTTAACTGTACTGACTGGTATTCTTTAGTATGAGTAGTTTCAATCTCTACGTATATTTTATTTTCATTTTAAATCTTTTATGGTAATATTCTTTACAAAGCACAAAAATGTCAGTATTCACCTCATAAGCTAACAAAACCTTTAAACAGACTTATTAAGAAGGGATATAGTTACGATACTGTTGTCAGGTCATTAAAGATTGCATATTTTGGCTTTAATATTGATTCACTTATAGGGTCTTTGCATCGGGATTAAACATATTTATTCTAAAACCAGTTGTTGGCATGACACGGGTTATGTTCTTCTCATATATTTTATGATGGTATAATACTAAACCCCTAACAGGAGGGATTGTGCCTGATATTCATATGATGAAGACATAATCTTTCACTCAGTTTAATTGAGGACTGGAGCTGACATGTCAGTAACTGCTAGTAGTCTGTTGTTATTTATGTATTATTGTCATTTTGTTTATTTTCTTTTGTTTCCTATTCTGACATCGGACTCGGACTTCTCTTAAACTGAGTTTTACTGTGCGTACTGTTGTACGTTTGTTTTTTCTACATTGGCTAGAGGTATAGGGGGAGGGTTGAGATCTCAAAAAACATGCATTTTTGCGCCTGTCCCAAGTCAGGAGCCTCTGGCCTTTGTTAGTCTTGTATCATTTTTAATTTTAGTTTCTTGTGTATAATTTGGAGTTTAGTATGACGTCCATTATCACTGAACTAGTATACATATTTGTTTAGGGGCCAGCTGAAGGACGCCTCCAGGTGCGGGAGTTTCTCGCTGCATTGAAGACCCATTGGTGGCCTTCGGCTGTTGTCTGCTCTATGGTCGG